CTTCTTACTCACAAAAAATGAGATGATGTTTTTGACTTGGGAAAGACTGTAGCCCACTATTGGCTCTGATACTGCTGAGTTAGTCTCTCGTGCTTACTCAATCGAAGCTGATGATGTACAATGCACACTACTTTTAGTTATATCCACAGTCGAAGCGAAGTTTATGTCACCATCGTTGTTAGATTCACTGTTATCAGTTTTGTTCATTATGTTGTTGAAAGTGTTTTAATACTCCAAAACATTATTACGATCTGTAGTTAAAAAAAATCATGATTTATAAAAACAAATTGCTTAAGATGCATATAAATTAAAATATATTATAAAACACTCACCTAAATCATGAGTAGACTCTTGAGTGTTAAAAAAATCAGAATCAAAAACTGAATTATCATATGGTCAAATTCCAGTTTTTTTTGAAAGCATTGACAGCTGTCTCCATTTAGCAAGCTCTTTGCCAAGCTCTCCCAAAAATTCCAAATACATTTTTCATTTACACTTGCACACGACTGCGTTGAAATTTGTTCATCTCGTCAGTGTAATACGAATTTAAGGGTTTTATGAATTCAACATCTAACGGTTGCAAGCGATGTATGTAATGGGGAGGAAAGCAAATAATGATGACACCATTTTTTTCCTAATTTTTCTACCTTGAGGTTTTTTTACGTGAGAGCAATGCTCATCCAGAAAAAACAACATTGGATTCTTTAGTGTTGCTTTGAAGAAATCAACGAATTTGATGAATCATTCCGTGAAAGTATGAGTTTCCATCCAACCGCTTTTGTGGAACACACCCCAAGATCCTTCTGGTTTATTTTCAAAAACGAGTCATTTTTTTTTGACATGCCCGCATGCCGGAAAAAATTCGCATTGGAGGCATGAAGACACCTGTTGCTGACCTACACAACTCAGCTGTAATAGTCTCTCCTCGCTCAGCTGATTTTTGATTCTAACTTGACGTCTTATTTTTTTGGTGATGATTCTTGACTATGACTTAGGCACAATCGAAGTTCCAGTTTCATCCACATTCCAAATATTGGCAGTGGGAATCTTATATTTTTCTAAAATTTCTAGTAGAAGTACAAAAAATACGTTGACACTGTGCTTATTAAATCCTGAAGCCCTAGCTGCGGAGGTTGCTTCAGCTTTTCTACTTAAAAGCTCATGTCTTTTCATAAAATTGTTCAACCAGTCCTTGCCTGCCAAACCTGTAAGGCAATGTAAAAATGTAATTATCAGTTTAAAAACACTTCATGGGAAGAGTTGAACTCTTATAACTCAGTGTAGGTATGTATGTTACCAGTGTCATCTTTAAAAGGATTTTTAATGCCAAGATGAGTGGCAAAGTCATAAGCTAACTGTCTTAGTTAAATTGCTAATAGCCCCATAAGCCATTTTTCCATGTCAATCACATGCTCATACAGTGCTTGCTCTTTCTCGCTGGAGAACACTTTTTGAAAGCCTGAATAATGCTCAAATTTACATAATTTAACATGGACAAGTAAGTGACCACTTGCTTAAATACATATTTTGAATCTGTATACTTACCAACACTTTTTACAGTTTTGTTTTGCAATCTTCTTTGGAGCGTAGTCCTAGGTATACCTAACTCAGAGGCCGAACTCTATATGGTTTTACCACTTTTTACAGAAACGATAGCTAACTACAACTGTTCTTCGATCCACTTTTTGTCTTCTTTCTTTTTCTTATAGTTATGGACCATCTTACAATAAAAATACTGAAAATACTGATTTATTCCGAAGAAACCAACTACAGTAGAAAACAAAAAAAAAAGTTAGGAAGGATCAGCTGTTCTGCTTGGCGCCGATAACGCAGACTTCCCGTGCTCACGCTGACCCTCTCATGGGTGTCTGCCCTCAAAAAGTGCTTTTTAATTTTGATACTCCTTTTTTTCTGAAGGGCTTACGCAAAAAAAAAAAATTGCTGCTTGAAGTGCTTGTTCACATATTCCAAAATATTAAAATTAGACATCATTCAAGATTTCTTCCGTTTTGAAAAAAAAATTCAAGTTATCAACGGTGTACAACCTTTGGATTCGAATTTTCAAAAAATTCTTATTCGTTTACAATATTTTCTTTGAACCAAATACTTGAGGAAAAAATAGTAATCGCATTAGATTTCAAGAAAAAAAATAGTTTATATAGTTACATAATTTTCTTTTATTATAAAGCTTGGTGTTCAATTTACCCGTCGAATCCGCCCTGCCCCACCATCCCCTACAATGAACAAGTAAAAAATAATTATGTATTTGCCTTTGAAAATGAAATTATAAAATACTGTAAACAAGACTTGAAAACTTTGAGATTAGCTGGCTTAGCTTTTCGAAAAACCTTTGAAAAATTCGAGGTGGACCCTTTTGGGGAATGCACAACGATCGCTTCGATCAGCATGCTTGCGTACAGAGAAAAATTTCTGAAAAAAATCAAATTGGTATAATACCACAAAAAGGTTGGTTACAGAATGGCTAACAATCAATCTGAAATAGCTTTAAAATGACTTTATTGGATAGAAAAACACCTTCTTCAGCGATTTATCGAGCACGTTGGACACTACCAAAAGAGACGCTTACTAGAAGGTATCCTCGTCGATGGATACTGTACTCCTCTAGATGGTGTGCATGATCATCGCGGAATCGTATTACAATTCTAAGATTGCTTTTGGCACAGCTGCCCATGATGTTACCGAATAAACCGAGATACCATTTTGACGACCGGAGATACAATTGATGAAAGATATGTGGAAACTTGCATAATTAACGAAAAGTTAAGAAAGTCAAATTATGAGTTAATACAAAAATGGAAATGCTACTTTAACCGAGAAATAAGTAAAAAACAGAAACTTTTAAATTTTCAAATACGCGGACGTATGCTGTTTGTACCAAAATATTTGTAAACAAGATATACGTCACGTTGGTCGTATAATGTCCTACTCTAATGAAGCAGAGTAAAAGAAAATAGTAGGTGAGAGTAACGATATTTTCCAAATGAATGGTTTAATTATATGTGATGTGCTACCATCTAGAAATTTGTATCATCCTGTATTACCGGTGAAAATGAATGGTAAGCTTATTTTTCCATTGTGCCGTACGTGTTGCGAGAATACGCTTTAAGAGCAATGTATCCACGACGATGAAAGAGACCGCATTTTAGGAGGTACGTGGGTATCCGGAGAAGTCAAGGTGGTCGTTCGCGTAGGTTATATCGTTCAAAATGTTTATGAAATACATCAATATCAGGTAACACAGTACAATCAAGAAACGGACAAAAAAGGATTATTTGCACATTATATTAACGAATTTTTTAAACAAAAAATACTAACTTTGGGTTACCCACCTACCTGTATATCTAATGAGCAAAAGAAGTTCTATATCGATGAAATTCGTAGAACTGAAAGAATAAATCCCGACAAAAATAAAATAAACCTTAATGCTGGCTTATGATGTCGAAAAATTATTACTCAGGTCTCTGTGGGGTACATTTGGTCAACGTGAAAATTTGACAAAGACTGAGGTGGTGACGGTCTCAGAAAGATTAATGAAATTACTTACGAGTGCAGAAATCGATGTAAATGATGTTTTACCCGTCAACGATGATACAGCGTACACGTAACTGGAATAATAAGACTGAAGCCTTAACGTCATTACCATCAAGTAAAGTTGTAGTTGTCACGTTTGTGACAGCACAAGCACGCTTGAAGCTTTTCGAGTATCTGCATTTTCTGGGAGAACGTTCTCACTATGATGACACGGATCTCGTTTTTTATGTTTCCTGAGAAGGACTGGACGATTTACCCATTGGCACGACACTAGGCAGTCTCACTGACGAATTGGCTGATAAAGGAGTTGGCACATACATTTCTTCGTTTTTATCGGTGGACCATAGTTGTTCGCATATAATGTTAAAAAATCCGACAGTGTGAATATTATGTTTGCAAAGTGGAAGGTATCAAATTTAATTACAGCAATAGTCAAAAGATAAATTTTGATACGATTCGTGAGATGTTATGACTAATATTACGAAAATAACATTGTCAAATTTTTCCGTTTGTCGCACAATTTTTCACGATGTAGTGACTCAATCGGAAAAAAAAAAAAACATGTCAACCAGTCTATAGTAAAAGATATTTTGACAGCAAGATCACGAGTTACCCGTATGGTTACAAACGGGATGTTGCAGGAGAAGGGATGTAATACATGGGATTAGAGGAAAAGATTCACTCAGTCGAGGTACGCCAAAGCTGGTGGTTTGATCACTTCCCTTTTCACAGCCGATGCATTAACAAGTAAACGACAAGATGGGTTAGAAATAGAGCAAATCAAATGCTACATCGACTAGCTCTAGGAATGATGATGATGATGATGATGATTGTTGAAAACCGTCTATAGAAAAATCATATAAAAAAAAAATATGTTTTCCGAAATACTTTTCTGAATCTGAAAAAAAATGGATGCAATGTCATACAAGATAGTTAATTCAATTGCAAAACTTTACAAAATCCAATATTTTACAAAACTTTTCATCGTAGTTTTTTTTTTCTTAATGCAAGAGTTCATTGAACGTGAACGTATATTTTTAACATGTGTAGTATATTCTGTGTGGCCTTTTTTGTAGAAGTAATAGGTTAAAATTAATACTATGTAAAAACATGTAAAAGAAGATCCATCTCAATGTGCACGTCTTTACAAATTTTTTGCACTAAAAAATCCGTGATTACATTTGAATGTTTTTCTTTTCTTGACCATACTATTCTATTAATAAAATTTGACTACCTTGAGTTAAAAAAAAAAAAAAATTAAATCGTATTCATTAATCATCTAGTGGGTAATATTATTATGAGTAATTGCTTCATTACTGAAAATGTACTTCAAAATATAAAAAGTATTTTATTTCAATATTAGTGTTTAATACTACATGTCTGAACGAATTTAACATTATTTAAGTGTTCATAAACATGTTCAATAATATCACTATGTTATCCCTCAGGTCAATTAAACTCAAAATGGCTCAAGTCTTATGTGCTGCGCAGTGAAAAGTTAAGATCATCTGAAAAATAAGTTGATTTACCTCGATATGAGTACTTACAGAGAACAGTACCGCAGCTTGAAGCGAAAAATTAAATTTTTACTCTACGTAAGTTTTTACAATAATTTTGTAATATTCAAATATCATACATGATCCGTTACATGTGGCACACAATAAGTTTGATACTATGGTAATGCAAGTATCTAGATAACCATGATTTTGAAAAATAGTGTAAAGATATCGAAAAGTACAGGTATTAACAGTTAATTTATTTCTCACAGATAAACTGAATCTTGTAAATACGCTAGAAAAACCAAAAAACACTGGAATAATAGTGTGTAAAAATTAATTGGTTTTCAGTGCTAAAAACGTTGATTTTGTCTATGAACTTATTCCAATACATACAAGTATCACTGTATCATCTATAAGCGATTTATAACACGCTATGCTCGTCTGCAAATAGGATGAAAATTTGGAGCAATGCTTATGTAGTTATCAAAAAAAAAGGGGAATTTGCATGTAAGATATTGTTACATGTCTGAGTTTATTAACGTACTTGAAATTTTTAACATTTCCTCTCGTTCAATTCGATAAATCCAGCGCAAATAAATGTTCCTTAGTGCACGTAAACGTGTATGTTATACTCAAAGGGAAGAAAGTACGGCATTTTCTCCCACGTGGCAAGCACCCGAAACATGATGCCGTACTTTCTTTTCGAGGCCAGTATACGATTTTTCTCTTCCTTTGCCGAAAATACGACGTTTCTTTGGAATTCCAGGGAAAAAGTGCAACATAATCTGAGGTAAAAGTTGCATTCACTGCTTATTATGAAAAGTATTATGGAATCCTCTGCGAGGCAACCACATAGATGATGGCAAAACTCTTTTCCTATGAGCAGTACATGCAGTTTTTCACCTGGAAAAAATGAATTAAGGGGTAGAAAGTAAGTTGAGAATATGTTACATTTTTTTAAATGATTTTTTTCCACATTTGTCCAAAAAATACTTGAGGCAGCGAGATCCTAATGAAAGAAGCCTGAACAAATCCAAGCCACTGAATCGTCAAATATTAGACTCTGTCTTTTGATTCTGCCGTGATCAAGATAGGTACTTGGACGCCGACTGGTTTTATGGCAAACGTGATGAAGCAGAAGTAAACTCTGAGCTATTAAGTCTATTTTTAGTGATTTGGAAAATAGTTAGCTTTTCTCTAGGTTTTGAATCTCTTGTATTGTAAAAACTCAATCCTCAAAATTACCATCAAAATTAATGAATATTGCTTGAAAAGTGTAGTGTATTCTGAAAGGACAGAGAAAATTTAATCGAACTTAACAATTATATTTTGCAAACTGTAAATACTGCTTCTTTTGCGGACATTTAATTTCACTGTATATAAATATACGCTCAAAGAAAAGATGCAAGCTATATTTGAAGTATTAGTATTTATTGCAAGAGCGAAGGAAAACAGAAAAGACAGAAACTTGTGGTCTCATGTGAATTAACAAAAAAATAGGTGATGAAAATTTGATAAAAGGCTACCTAAAGAAATTTTATTTTTTAATTTCATTTTACGGTGACCAAGAGGTAGAAATTACTTAAGCTTAACATAACTGCAGGAGACAATATAATGATGATCACTCATTTTGGAAGCATACTCCAATCTTAAAAATGAAAAAGTTATTTAAAATAATTGGTTACTAAAAAGTATTATTAACTGTTGTGCAAAATAATTTATGACTGAAAAGTATAAATAACAGTTTAAAAGTTTACATAACTCATCTGTCAGTTTTTTGGACAATTTTAAATTTATCTTTCTGTTGGTTACGTACGTCCGTAGAATTCAACGAAAATATCAAAATTGTTGACTTTCTTGCCATAAAATAGATTTATGGATACTCACTGCTTTCTTGTATTCCATGTCATATTATATATTTCAGTAATGACGTCGTTCAAATTCAGTTTACTCTTCACTTGAATAGCTTCAGAAAGTCATTATCGATTAATGATTTATGTTTAAAGGAGGAAGAAAGTGGGTAAGTATTATCTGTATCTGTTGCTTTTAAAAACTCTGCCACTGTTTTCATACGTTAAATTGTTGGAATTCCTTGAACCTCATTTGCTGCAACTTGGATCCATCTGACTGACTGTCGCTTTACGGCATTGATATCATTGTTGTGACATGTCCTTATTAAATTAGCCGTTCATTCTTGTTGATAAATATAAATTCAGCATATTGCTGAATTAGAATGGAACGAGTATCATTCGTGTGGACCCAGTTAAGTGTGTGTTTTACATTTTTCTACAGTATTTAATTTTTAACGCAGTATTCGTGTGAATGATACCCTCTTGCTTTGCTTATTGAAAAAGATGAAAAATCTCCTACAAGTACCTTAACTTTTGATTTTAACAATCTGCCTAATCCAAAAAGCAGGAGTAACAATGATGAGAATCCCAATATAAATCTTCCAAAATATTTTAAATCACTGCTTTGGAAAAGTGAAATGTTAAGATAGCTAAATCCAAGACAGCCAAGAGAATAAGACATCAGTGGATAAGACTCGTTTATTCTTACGGGGGCAGGCAAAGAATAAACTGTTCTTACCTTCCCTCCTTGAAAGTAGACATGTCTTATTCACTGGTATCTGCTAAATCTGTTTCTCTCAGTTCTCCCAGTACTTTAATCATTCATGGCAGAAAGTAGATACTTGGTAAGTTCGTTAAATCTCATTTAGTATGATGAGCTTAAAATTTTTACCATTAAAATTCCTATTGGCAAATAAAAAATTTGATTAGGTTGATTGAGTTATTTAAAATTTACTATTAGAAAATGTGATGTCTGAAAATGCCAGGAAATAGCCAAAAAATGGCAAAACTGGCAAAACTGGCAAAAACAGGTTCTTCAACCCTAAAACGTCAGCAGTCATAAATATAAAACAAAGTTTGATACAAAAAAAATGCGCAAAAAAGCCTGATAAAACTAACCACATTGATCCCATCGGTTTAGTAGTTTTTTTGCCAATTGCGAAATACCACTATTTTTGCCATTTTTTTAAATTTATAACTCCAGTTTTTTTGCACGTTAAGGGCTCAGATTAAGAGAAAGTATTCTTCTAGTGAATCTTAAGGTATGCTAAAATTTTCGCATTAATTCGATTTTTAGTTTTTGCATCTGGTCGTGTAAAAAAAAAAGAAAAAAAAACCCTTACAAACAATAGTTAAAAAAAATTTTTGGGACCAAATAAGACTATTTTTTAAAAGCGTTTTTGTCCTTTTGGAGTTATTGTACCACCTACTTAAAATCTCTATTTTTAACTTGGTACTAGGCCCTGTGAATGATAATCCAAAAAAACAGTGATTTCCGTTTATAGTCTTATACTTTCTTTCAACCATTTTTCGGTTTGCAAAAACTCCAAATTAAATCAATGAAAAATTCTTAGCATACTGAAAGTTTTACCACTAAAACATTGTCTCTAAATCTTACAACCCTTAACATGCAAAAGAACCAAAGTTATCAATTTGTTAAAAAATGGCGGAAATAATAGTATTTTGTAATTTGCAAAAAAAAACTACTAAGTCGATGGGGCTAACTTGGCTAGTTTTTTCAGACTTTTTATCGGGCATTTTTTTTGTGTTAAACATTTTTTGCTACCTGTTAATGCTCATTTTAGGGCCGAAAACATATTTTGGCCACTTATACAAATTTTTTTGGCCATTTTCTGACATTTTGAGATCACATTGTATGATAATCAATTTTAAATACCTCAGTCTATTGAATTAAGTTCTTAAGTTGGCAATAAGAATTTCTAAAAAAAATAGTGGGTGTAAAATTGATTCTATTCCACCAATTCCTGATCCTACTTCTCGATTCAGCCATAACATAACGATAGAGGAAAGAGTTAAGGTACTGGGTCAGATACTCTAACCGTGTTGAAGTGTAGCATAGCAAATATAAAGCTCAAGAAGGTCTGTAAGTAGTCAATAAGTCAATATCAACTCGATTGGCTGTGTTACACGCTGGAACAGTCAGAAAATATGGCTGCTTTATTCATAATTCTGAGATCGTTCTAAATTGTCGATTAGACTACATTTAATAAATTAAGAAAAAAACATATTTTTGTTATCTTACTAATTTATAAAGCAAAGTCGCTAAAACCGTTGTAATCGCTAACTGCGAAAACTACTAAACCGATTTTGCTGAAATTTTGCATACCGATTCTTGACACTTGACTTAAATGGTTTTAGTATAGTTTTTATTTTCAAAAATTTAATAACAATAGCAATAAATAAGTTCAAAGCTTTGCAAAAATACTCCAGCTTTTCACGTTAGTTCAGTTGTATCCACTAGGTGGCGTCGACATAAAATCGAAGCTACCTGCAACGGAATTAAATAAGTGTGATTATAATACGCTGGAGCATCTCACCAATTTCTGCCATCGTTCACTGGCAAGTCACCGAGCTGCATCCAGAATGTAGATAATAGTTGTGCGGCTGGGTATCCCGGTTACTGACGATGTTCTTCTCCAATGGGCAAGTGACCTAAGTCTACTTTCACCCTTAACCTCCAGGATTGACGAGTACCACCAACAAAAAATTTATTCTAACTGATAACGTCTGCGTGGAATACCAGGAGACGTGTTTGGCCAGAGCACAACCTGCTCCAACACTTCAGAGTTGTGTGGTCGTACCACAATCTGGCCTAGTGCCATCAGAGAATTTTTCACTACAAATGTAAGCCAGGGAAGGCAGCCCTGAAGAGTACGGGCATACTCAACGGCCAACTTCTTAGTGGTTGTTCTAACGGCACACCTACAGAGAAGGTATTCTCCAGGCCCACTTTCCCGACTAACTATGAGCGGTTGGTTATCCGGGGAACAACCTTAAGACCAAATATTCTTTGGTCAGCGGCGTATCTTCCTCATGTATAGTCTCCGTACACAGAGACTCCGAGGGTAAGAGTCCATCATCAAGAATAATAATAAAGAATAACTGGAAATTTTACCATTGGCCCTTTTCAGGGCAAATTTAAGTATTAACGTTCCCTACTTAACCGTCAATCTGATCGGTTCTTTTAAGGGTCACCTAAGTTTAAACTACCTTGCCAACAAATAC